CGCGAGATACTAACGAAACAAACGAACTAAAGACAATCGTCAGAGAGCGCGAGATACTAACGAAACAAACGATCTGAGGAGAATCGTTAGAGTGCGCGAGATACTAACGAAACAAACGAACTAAAGACAAGGTTCAGAGAGCGCGAGATACTAACGAAACAAACGATCTGAAGAGAATGGTCAGAGTGCGCGAGATACTAACGAAACAAATGAACTAAAGAGAATCGTCAGAGTGCGCGAGATACTAACGAAACAAACGAACTAAAGAGAATCGTAAGAGTGCGCGAGATACTAACGAAACAAACGAACTAAAGAGAATCGTAAGAGTGCGCGAGATACTAACGAAATAAACGAACTAAAGAGAATCGTAAGAGTGCGCGAGATACTAACGAAACAAACGAATGGAAAAGAATCCTTGGAGTTCGCGAGATACTAACGAAATATACTTTTTTGTAATCTTTATACTTCTTGTAATGTTAGTTTTAAGATTTCGATATAGGTGATGGATTTCTTTCGTTACATTATCTTTCGGGTGGAAAATTCATCGATAGCATAAGGAGAAATTTCTCTTTGGTCACTGTTAGGGCTGAAGTGGTTTTGAGAGAGCGATTCCTTTCGTGCACATTTATGTTAAGGATGTTTGCTGCTATAATACCATTTTGCTATTTGATTGTAGTGGGGATGAACTGCTACTGACAGAGATGATCTTTAATGGAGTTTTCAATGAACTGACAGTTCAACAGTGCGTGGCTTTACTCAGCTGTTTTGTGTTTGAAGAGAAGGTAACTTCCAATTACTTACAATATTGTTAACTGAGTATTATCTTTGCTCATTTTCAGCACACCACTGAGAAGTGTTGTCCCTTTTAATGTACTTTCGCAATTAATTCCTTTGATTTTATTCACCTACCGTAAAACAGAGTGACGAGATTCCCAAACTGAAAGAAGAACTAGCAGGTCCCTTGAGACAAATGCAGGTAAGTTTAACATTAGTGTTATTATAACTTTATTTTGTAGTACAACTTGTACATCGTCTATTAGTCTGCTTGTCAAATAGTCCGTCCGTTTGTCAGTGCGTCACTCAGTCCGTCAGTCAGTCAATCAGTCAATCACTCAGTTCGTCAGTCGGTCAGTCGGTCAGTCAATCAGTCAATCTGTCAATCAATCAGTCAGTCAGCTGGTCGGTCAGTCGGTCGAGCAGTCTGTTAGTCAGTTAGTTGGTTAGCCTGTTAGTTCGTGAGTGTCGGTCAGTTAGCCTGTCTGTCTGCCTTTCAATTAGTTATTCACCTAGTCGGTCAGACAGTCAGTGAATTAGATAGACAGTCAAATATGTGAGCAGCTTTACCGTCAGTTCAAGCTTTTGTTGCAAATTTCATTCGTGGTTATATCTTTAGGAATCTGCACGCCGTATTGGAAAGGTTTCAGAAGAAGCTAAACTTGAAATAGATGTGGAGACATATGTGGAATCCTTTAAACCTCATATTATGGACGTAGTGTTTGCCTGGGCAAATGGAGCCTCATTCTCTCAGATTTGTAAAATGACTGATGCGTTTGAAGGTAAAAACGACTTTTTTCTTTGCATACGATTGCGTGACTTCCTTATTCAATTAGAGCTGTCACACAACAGAAGATGACGTAGTTATGCAAAGTGAAGTTTGTGCGCACTAATTTGTTTATGTGTTTATCAGGCAGTGTTATTCGTTGTATGCGACGCTTGGAAGAACTCTTGAGACAAATGTGTCAAGCATCCAAAGCCATAGGAAACACAGAGTTGGAAAACAAGTTTGCAGAGGGTAATATATTTTGTATTAAAGATTAATAATGAAACAAATTTTTCTTTCATTACGATTGTACCTTAATCTGGGGGTCTGGTAGAAGTGTAATTTTTTTTGCTGTGGGACATTTAACTCTTAACCCTGATATTGAAAAAAACAAAAACAAAAACAAAATTAATAAGGAAAAAATTAAATTAGTTTATTTTTGAGTTCGTATAATTACCCCTGTCCTGAAATCCATGTCCTTGAAAAAGTGTATTGGGAGCTAATTACTAGGAACAAATAATGTAATAGTGTATTGCAAAAACGCTCTACTGAAGTTTGCTGAAAGTGTTTTTTAATTTTGTTTTCCAAGGAATAATCAAAATCAAGCGGGATATCGTTTTTGCTGCCAGTTTGTACCTCTAAGATGTGAAGAGAGAGTATTTACCTATTTTTCTTTGGATCTGTACATTGTTTTAGCGTCACTTATGTATGATAAACAGAGAAATCTTCAAATATTTGCCGGAAGGTCAACACGCATAGACTAGAACTCACAGAGACTACCGTTCCCTCCTTGTACTCTTCAACATCGCCAACCTTGTCTACAAAGGTTATTTTTTTATGGAAACTGTAGTAATGTGAAAAGGACACTTCCAAGAAGCAAGGAGAAAGAATATCGAGTTGAAGTCAGTATCTGAGTAACTGCTCACCTACCCCTCCTCTAACCCAACAACAGTCAACTGATAACAAGTCAGAGTTAATCTTGGGTAAAGGGAGGGGTGGGTGTGCGGTATTTCAGTTACTGACATTGATCCAGCATACTTAGTTTGGATTCGCCATTCTTTTCGCGATAAATTTTGTAAATACTTTATTGTAGAGTTGTGATTAAATTTTTAAAAATTAAATTTGTTGTCAGAATTGTTGTTTACAACTCTTGCTTGATCCTTTTTTGCCATCGTGAAGATCTGTCCAAGAGATCTTTACTTGATTTTATTCAATTAATCGTCGATGTGGTTGGCATTTTCCTTCCCAATCCCCATTGCTTCTCATAGCCAGCAGAGCCTTGGCACATGAAAACGAGGGATTGTGTAGACACACATGATTTTCCAATCCAAGATTCTAAGACCTACAGGCTTGTTTACGCTTTATTTAGTTTATACTCAGACATTAACATACCTTCCGACTTCGAGGAGGAGAAGGAGCTGGCTGGGATGAAGGGAGGGGGGCGTTGAAAAATGACCTTCCTTTAACGAAAAAAAAACGTGAAGATTTAAGACTTAAGGTACATGAAAATCAATAGCTTCAATTACCCTTAGGAGATTGATTTGTTTCTCGTTTCAAACGGATTACGTTAGAAACCACATACAATTTTTAAAATCCTCTTGGTAAGACACGTCTAAGAAATTAGATATGGAGCCTTGGATTCCTTAAATCGAAAGTGGAGCCCGAAGCGATATTTCAGAATATCAGCCAATACAATGGTATACATCAGGTAGAACCATATCATACAAAATAACCGCAACGGGTTTATCCAGCGATTTTAAGGTAGGCATATTCTAGTCATTATTCACTGGAAAAGTAAAGGTAATTGAATTTTGCGCCACAAGGTAATAAATCTCTGAAGAAACAACTTGAAGCTTCAGTTAATTCCGATCTCGCAGCTTCACATCAAATGTTTGATACTGAATAGAGGCTTTAATTTCTATACGCTTATACTTGCTATGGACAGAGACTTCCTTATGTCTCGCTAAACGTGTTTCCCCGTGGAGTTTCGCGTGTAACGTGACGCGTTTATTTTATTGCGCAAGAATACTGGGAACTAGTTAAAAATAATCCAACATGGCGGAGTGACTATTGAGAGTAATGTTTAGTATGACCTGCCTATTTGAGACATAACAAAAGGAAAGGCGGCAAATTAAACAGTGTTTACCTTACGGTGCATGTTGGCTATTCTTTAACAGAATTTGGAGGAAAAAAGACGTATCTCAGTGGCTTCCAAACCATGGATTGGTGACCATATGTGACATCCATGGCAATTGTGAGAGGTAAGGATTTAACCCCAAAACTACTTGATGGTCTTGTTGTCTTGATGAATTACTTCTTCCTGTTAGTTAAAGTTACGAAGTAAGTTTGTAATCTGATGGAATTTTGGATAGTGAGTTCTGATATGGTGTAAGCTCAGTTCTCAGTGTTTTGCGGGAAATTCAAATTTCATATATCGAGCACGTGCACATTTTATCGTTTTCAATTATATTGTGCAAGACACTATGAGAGCTGAGTTTGCGGCTGGAAACTAAAATAGTTGAAGTTACTCGAAGATTTTTCTGTTTTCTGAGAAAGGTGTCAAAAAGTACTTAAAAGGTGTTGTTTTAAAAGTAAATTTTTTTGGCCGCCGCTTCTTAATTCTGTTTACCGTATTTCTACGGAAAAGCGCTTAGCGCAGTGAAATAAGTGCTCTCTTCCACAGAAGCACCCACCCCCAAG